GAACCCTTTGATATCTGTAATTACAATAAGTACATTTCAGCTTTAGCCATAATCTAAAAGGCACGTAAGAATTATCCAAGAAGGCAGCTCACCTGGACCAACAAACTTGTGTAAAGCACCAATAAGTTTAATGGTTGCGTTTCTTGTGGCAGCGGCGCTGGATTGTAAGCCAGTATCTTTGCAGAAATCAATTAAATCCTGTAGGAAAGATATCCGTTTTATTAGATTAAGCCACCCTAGATTGTGAATCAATCATGAGTGGAATCAGAAGTTTACAAGCTCAGAATACCTTTAGTTTAAGATGTGAAGTAACCATCCACAATATGCCCTCACTAAGAACCTTAGGGTTCTTGTGCTCTTTCATAATTTTATAAAGCTAAAATAAAGCAGATCAAAAAGGTATTAGTTGGGTAACATGCAAATATAGAAAAATCGTATTTCAAAAGCTTAATCCAGACATCAGTATTTCCTAACATGAAGTAAAACCAAAAAGGACTGCATGTACAATACTTTACTTACTCTCTCAAAAACAAAACCTGGACCAACAGCTTCACAAAATGTAGTAAGACATTTCATGGCCTGAGCACGAGTCTTAATGTCAGCAACTCTTTCACTTACCCCTGACAGAAATGAATTCTAACTTAAAATCAGCCCCAAAAAAATAAGTGTGGTACAGTGATGCAACTAGTTAGGATAAATTGCATGGTACAGTGATGTAACTAGGTAGGAGAAAAAAGGCAAAGGACAATCGGCCAAAAAAGAAAATAGCATGGTACACTGATGAAACTAGGTAGGTGAAAAAGAAACAAGGGAGAGTGACCTTGAAGGCAAAGGACAACACATTTCTTTGGATATTTTGATGCAGTTGACGCAATGTGGGTAATTATATCAATAACCAGCTGCTGAACCTGCACTTTGATATATATTGACAAAAACCAAGAAAGCATATGACTTTTCCAGATCAATTATCTCCACTCAGGACAATTCAGGTAAAAGAGAAAAACCTGGACATTCTTTTCACTCCAACCAGGAACAGCACAGAGCAGGCGGACCAAAATCTCAACTGAAGGGTCAAGCTCTTTTAGAGCTTCAACCTGTTCTTTGAATGAACTAATAGCTGCATAAGATAGTAGAGAAATATTATCAACTGTTAAGCTAAAAAGAAACAAACATAGCTGTAAGGAATACATCAAAAAGCATATTGCACTCTTAAGATGTCTTCACATCAGATCCAAATGCAAGAAAGAAGAAACTGCAGGGACTAATAAAGAAAATTAGCAAGTTAAACAAACGAAACGAAATGCTTTTTAAAATAACTACCACAAAACTTGGCAACATTCGAATAATTGAAAGTTCACTAAAGTGGATCCACATCTTACATGGACGCATGCTAACTGCTATAGGGGTACATACATATAGCAATGACTAATAAAGAAAACTAGCAAGTTAAACAAACGAAACGAAATGCTTTTTAAAATAACTACCACAAAACTTGGCAACATTCGAATAATTGAAAGTTCACTGAAGAGGATCCACATCTTACATGGACGCATGCTAACTGCTATAGGGATACATACATATTTTACTAACCTACAGGATCCACTAATTGACATTTACTTAAAAATTCTGGTAGAAGGAGCTATAATAAGGGGATCAAACGCCACTACAGTTTGTATGGGTTAAAAGAAAGGTAGCACAGCATTCACCTACTTTCAAAGAAGTGCCACAGCAACAGAACACAGAATCAAGCAGTGAAAACACAACATNTGTACAATACTTTACTTACTCTCTCAAAAACAAAACCTGGACCAACAGCTTCACAAAATGTAGTGAGACATTTCATGGCTTGAGCACGAGTCTTAATGTCAGCTACTCTTTCACTTACTCCTGAAAGAAATGAATTACAACTTAAAATCAGCCCCAAAAAAATAATTGTGTGGTACAGTGATGCAACTAGGTAGGATAAATTGCATGGTACAGTTGCATAACTGGGTAGGAGAAAAAAGAAAAAAAGAAGAGTGACCTTGAAGGAAAAGGACAATCAGCCAAAAAACAAATAGCATGGTACACTGATGAAACTAGGTAGGTGAAAAAGAAATAAGGGAGAGTGACCTTGAAGGCAAAGGACAACACATTTCTTTGGATATTTTGATGCAGTTGAAGCAATGTGGTTAATTATATCAATAACCAGCTGCTGAACCTGCACTTTGATATATATTGACAAAAACGTGTGACTTTTCCAGGTCAATCATTTCCGCTCAGGTCAATTCAGGTAAAAGAGAAAAACCTGGACATTCTTTTCACTCCAACCAGGAACAGCACAGAGCAGGCGGACCAAAATCTCAACTGAAGGGTCAAGCTCTTTTAGTGCTTCAACCTGTTCTTTGAATGAACTAATAGCTGCATAAGATAGTAGAGAAATATTATCAACTGTTAAGCTAAAAAGAAACAAACATAGGTGTAAGGAATACATCAAAAAGCATATTGCACTCTTAAGATGTTTTCACATACAGGTCCAAATGCAAGTAACTGCAGGGAGTAATAAAGAAAACTAGCAAGTTAAACAAACGAAAAGAAATGCTTTTTAAAATAACTACCACAAAACTTGGCAACATTCGAATAATTGAAAGTTCACTGAAGCGGATCCACATCTTACATGGACGCATGCTAACTGCTATAGGGGTACATACATATTTTACTAACCTACAGGATCCACTAATTGACATTTACTTAAAATTTCTGGTAGATGGAACTATAATAAGGGGATCAAATGCCAATACAGTTTGTATGGGTTAAAAGAAAGGTGGCACAGCATTCACCTACTTTCAAAGAATTGCCACAGCAACAGAACACAGAATCAAGCAGTGAAAACACAACACTATCAATGTTCCTAGTGCAACAACAGATAGTGAAACTAAGACAAACAAAATCACAAAATAAAGTAGATACTCTCAGCTGGAACTCTGGTAGTTGTATGCTTCAAGTCCTCATTCATTATTCCATATTAAGGAGAAAGTAGGACTTAGGCCATATGTATATCCAGGGTTCCATCTTCTTCCTCTTCTTTTTGTGTGAGGTGTGGGGAGGGGTTGTGGGTCCATCCTTTTTTACATCCTAGATACGCACAAAATGATTCGACAGAGAGACAGAAAAAACCTTCAAGCCTCTCTTTCCACACTGCACTCTTCAACTGAGTAATCGTCTCCGGCTGTATAAGGGAGCCTAATTTAATTTCAATCTCTTCGAGACTCATCTCTGCAGGCTGTTCATATATCAAAATTGATTTATTAATCACGTGTGATTTCTACAGTATTAAGAATGATAAAAGGATGCTAAGCTAAAAGCTAAATTTGGATTAGAAATCACCTCAACATCTTCAACTTCAACAGGCTTAGATGCCTTTAACTGAGTAGCTCCATCACCCCTCTTACTTGTACCAGATTTTGCAGAGGTCCCTTTCTTACTAGGAGGCTTAGAATCATAAGGAGAAAAAAATGAGGAAGAACAAAAAGAAGAAGAGCAAAAGAAAGATAATTAGGAGGCTCTGAGTAAGGAAAACTTATGGCAGGAAATAGAATGCAAAACTTACAGCGGCCTGGACAGGTTTCTTTCCACTAAGCATGCTCGCTGCAGACCTCTTAACAAGTGATCCAGTTGAAGGCTACAAGATGAGTAAAAGTTTAATAAGCTTAAAACTGAAAGAATACAGACTAGAAATGATATAAGAATAAAATAGGGAAAAAGATATCAACAAACAAAATCCACCTAAGACTGATAAGGACAGATGATTTCAAAATATTGAATACCCTAAAATATTTAAAAGAAAAAACAGAAGAAAGCAAAAAAAATGACGTTTGCCATCGTATGACATAGAGAGTGTGGGATCTACTTGAATACAACTCTAAAGACAAGAAAAAAACTTTTTAAACAGCCCCAACTAGCTAGGAACCAAATGTCAGTGTACCAACGAATGCTCCAAATAAAAATACATCATCTGGAGTTAGAACCAATAAGTCAAATTAACTTGCGAACTTATATTTACGAGTGTGGTAAAGTAAAGCTGAAAAGTGTGCCCACAATCTCCCAAAATAACTCAAACAGTATTGATTACTATATGATAGGATAGTCACCTGGGTGGAAGACATAATTCCTCCGGATGATGGGACTGCACCTGAGAGTTATTTACAATTGAGCATGTTAAGACAGTCATGAAAGCAATAAACAGATAATAGTACAGCATATAGAATGGAAAACTTTTAGAAGTAAAAGAATTTCAAACCAGAGCTGGATGTGGAAGCTGGATCACCACCAGAGCCCCCAATCATTTCGGATAACTTCTTCTTTCTAACATCATCTAGTTTCTCCAACGACTTTTCCAGAGGTCTCATGCCAACCGACTTGATAAAGAAGGAAAAACACAGCAAGAGAGGTCAATGGGACAGTTGAGTGAGAAGCTCTACAAATAGAGAGAAAAATCCCAGAAATAAGTACCTTGGCCACAGCTGCCAAGGCCGAAAAAGCAGCATCTCTAACTTCTGGTGTTCCATCATTCAGGCTCTGTGCGACACAATATACCAGTATCATCAACTTGGCATCCATTCAAAAGAGAAAATACAGGTAAGACGAAATAATCTAAGAGAGTGTATCAGGAGATGAAAAGTAGCAACGTCACTGCAACCCGTGTAGGTCCACCTCAACATTCAAATAAGCAACGAGAAAAGGTAGCAAGTGAATAAAACTTCCAATCAAAGGAAGAAAAGATAGGGAAGACTTGACAAAACCATCTAAGACACATGCTATCAGATGATGGAAAGGATAAATGTCCTTGCAACGGTAACTATCCAAAAATAGAATTCAATGAAGCCACATGATATATTGCAATTGAAAATAAAACAGCATCTTTTTCTTAAAAAGGGAGGAAAGATAAACATACTCCTCTATCAAATTTTATCTGACAATTTCCTCTAAATGGCTAGGCTACCCCGACCTGTTCTGAAATTTTCCGATGAGCAAAAATTGAATACATGTTATTTGGGCATCGAAGATGCTCTTTTATACACATTAAACTTCATTTTCATACATATTAAATGCAGTTTAAACTTCACCAAGCTATTAAGGGCAGCGGGGTACACAAAATATCCCCTATGCATGGGGTCCTAGGAAGGGCTGGACCACGTTGGTCTATTGTACCAAGCTAAAGAAGCATTCAAATATTAATTGTATACTGAAACATCCTAGAACATTCTATATACAAAAAGATGACAATCAGATAATTTCATCCCAAGGAAAACAATACATAGCCGAATGTCATCAAAGTAACAAACCAAAATCTTTTCTACCATGATTTAGAAGCTCAACAATCATGTTTCAATAATGTGATGTCAGCAAAGAGAATAAAGCAATCTGCAGAACAGCAAAGGATTACCAGAAAATACAATTGTACTCCCAAAACAAAGTCTGCCCAATAGTTCATTTTGTGTATGCACGATACAACAACAACAACAACAACAACAACAACAAACCCAGTAAAATCCCACAAGTGGGGTCTGGGGAGGTCAGTGTGTACCGAGACCTTACCCCTACCTGGAAGGTAGAGAGGTTGTTTCCGATAGACCCTCTGCTCAAGGATTTTGTGTATGCACGATGCAGAAATTAAACCACTAATCATACTAGAGTTGTAAAGAAAGGAAAAAGGTAAGACTTGAGAGTTGATATCACAATCAACAACAATTTATCAAAAGAAAGACTAGGCACTATTAGAAACAAAAGTACATAGTAACCCATTGAACTAACCTCCATACAAATAGGAACATATTCCTTATGTGCTTTTAGAATAACAGCCTTGTTGCTTGTTTCAATACAAAATGTCACCCAATTTAAAGTCAGTGATCGCACTAGAGGAACTTTATTTTTCGTGGCAGTCTTGACATCTGCAAAAGTACATAAATCAATAATCCAATATTTCACTTTAGTGAAATCAATTTACAAGGCAAAGGACAACATATCCAACCCCTCCATCACAAAAACATGAAGTATTTCGACCAATGCAGTGAGAGAAAAGTAAAACGTTTGGAAGGACACCTTTCAAATAATAGCATAAGAAGCCCCATCAACTTTTGATGATATATAATATTAGTTCACTGGTTGAATTGATGTAGACAGAAAAGTCTCCGCTTAAACAAAGTGGTCAAGTGTTTTGGGATGGAAAGAGCAAAAGAAACATGAAAAAGCAAGAAATAACTCCACACTACTACAAGCCCTTCTGGAAAATCCCCAGGCTATTCAATAAACAAGAAATGACCAATAACCAAAGCGTTTCCTCAATGTAGCATCTGGGGAGTGTTAGACAGTAGATGCAGCCATATTGTTATGGATGCTGTTTCTTGGACTCGTGACAATCACCGCCAAATTCTTATTCAAACTTTGACAGATTGTTCATTCAAATTGGGGACTAAGTTGTAGCTAATGACAATTGTTAGAAGTACTATTATAGTAAATATTGAACAACGTCAGTAAGATAGACCAGATGCATGATTGGATGTTTGTCATCGTCACAATGTAAGACATGAAAGTCTTCTAGTACAAGTTCAATATAGTTCTTTACTTATTTTACATAAAGATGTCTAGGAAATAGATAGTGAAAGTGAGTATGTCATCACAATGGACACTGCGAAGCAATACGTTACTACCAAAAAAAAATTCACAAGTTAAATATATAAAATCAGTTGCGGCATCTTAAAGAATATTTGCAGCATCTGAAGAAGGCTTCTTAGGTTTGAAAATGGAACCTGCCTTCAACAATATCAGTGAGAATTAAGCACCCTGATTTGTGCATCGCCTGGAGTGTTTGAGTAAGTGCATCCGTCAAAGTTGGTTTTTTCTCTTTCAGTTTTTCCTATAAAGAATAGAACAAAGAAGAGGGAAATATAACAGCTTTCCTTTTTTTTGATCATCTAAAGGAAGAAAGTTTCAGTTAAAAGACACTAAACAAATATCTAAGAACAGACTACACAAATTGGTTACATGCATGATTTACTGATAAATGCGATGTGCTATAACTATGGGTGTGTCAATGTATCCAATAAGGACATGAAGGGTGTTGTTATTTTTTCTCTCCCCTCACTTGGCATCCGATTTCAATTACAGCAGAAAGATACCAATAAAAAAGAAGGATAATAGGAGGTCGAAACAGAATATATGAGGCAGTGATGTACGTTAATGCTACAAACACCTCCAGATCGACAATAGGGAAATGCATCCTCCTAAAAGCCCCAAGTTTCCTTCGTCATGAAAATTAGTACAGCTGAAGATTTCAGTCTCTAGATCAAATAATAAAAAAACAGGCAACTGCATCGCGCTGATGTTCCTAAAGTTGCAGAACAACCCTAGAAATTAGGCATTCTTATCATCCGTAAAAAGCCCTCAAAAATTGACCATCTCCTCCATCAATAGCATTTCTATTGTTTTGTTCTCTAAAATTCTCTCCTCCCTCGAGTCAGCTAATGAGGAAAATAGCATGTCTTGCTAATAACAGTCAGCAATCAACAGAAACAAAAGCAGCTATATTGAAGTATGATATTTATATCCTCAATTATACAGATTTTGCTACCCCTTAGTGCTCATTAATCACATTGATAGTGTCAATTATTCAAAAGAAAAAAAAGGAGAAACGGCATTCAAGGGAAGGTCTTAATTCATGCCCATTTCAACATCAACATACCATGAGCGTTTCCATCCTTAAACTACTGCTTTAAGGGCTGCTGTTCTGATAATTTACATATCTGTTAACAGGGGGGAAAAATTTCCAAGCTACACCAAAGAAGTTGCAAGGCACAACATGGCTACCCCTCAATGCTCAACTGCTCATTGATCAGATGATTTATATATCCTCACTTTATACATGTTTTGCTATCCTCAGTGCTCAATAATCACAATGAGAGCCATAAGCTTCCGTAGGGCATGAAAGAAGTGAATGAAGGGTGAATGCCCGTCCTCGTATACCTGTCTTTCAATTGCACGCCCCGCAAGGGACAGGATTGAGACCTCAATTTCCAAACAAGAGAACTAACTTAAGGTCCACGAACTAGCAAGTTCATACAGTCAAATAAGAGAACCTAGTTCTGACAAAAATAGATATATATATATATATATATATATATGCGCCAAATATATAACAAAGAAAGACATTCGTCTTAAAGCCACATGCTTACCAGTAATACAGGTAACAAGAAGCGAGAGCTTCCGGAAAAATGTGTTCTCAGTCCCCTTGCAAGATTTCCAATTGCCTGGATGGCTTCAACTGCAACGGCAATATTTACATCTGTGATGAGCTGCAAAGTCACAAGACAACAGTCAATTTCTAGTGAAAGACGGTGCATGACCGAATGTGCACTGAAAAAAAGATAAACAAGAGCAAATTAGCCGCCAATATAATGCCACAAGCATACACAGAAATACACAACCAAACCCAAAAATAGAGAGAGTAATCAGCCCAGGAGCTAAAAAGTTAGAATATGAATTAGAAGAGAAAGAGAACTCCTCATGGTTCAAAACACCCATTGAACAGTTGGTAGCACCGCAATGAACAGCAATATGACAGACTGAGGTGAAATGACACTAGCAAATAAAACACTGTTCACTATGCTCCTGCATAAGTTTCAATTCAGCTTCTTGATGCAAAAAACAGACATCCATGAACATATAAAGCAAAATCTACAGAGCCCTTGCTCATATATACACAGCTAGAACCATTTAATCCTTTAAGGGATGAGAGATGAACATCAGAAATAAAGTAAAGGTACTCCTCCTAAGCTTGCAGACCAAGACCCAGTAGATCCATCTCATTGTTAGCACCACTGGTTGATTTGGCCTCCAATTATTGTTAACTTTTTATCCTCTTTGAATTGAATTTTTCTTGAGATTATGATGATGCCATACTGATCAAAGAGCCACACAAGTATAAGCATCATTCTTATCATTCTAGACTTTCCAATCAACAAAAAATACTACTGATTAGACTCTGCATCGGCTGAAAGATCAACTTCTTCAATCAAGGAGAATGAAATTATATACCTTCTTAAGTGTCCTGCAAATTTCTGCGAAATCACCAGGTGCAATTTTCTTGGTAGATGCAAGCTTAGTCAGCTCTGCAACAGCCTCTTTACGCTCTGACCACTTGGCTGCTTTCTACACAAAATCAGTTGAAATACAAATCAATGAATGACTAAGTGCATGACACTCATAAAGAAATTCGTCACACCAGAAATAAGATGCAACAGAATTTTAGCCAAAAAAATCTAACAGTTGAATGCAATAAAATGTACATGAAGCCTAAAAGAATAAAAGGAATCACTAACCACTCCTTCCCAAAATCCTGTCTTCTCCAGAGGGGTCAAAATGTCAACAGGATCCACAAGGTCATACTCATCTATCTCCTGCGGAACTGAAAGAAGGTGTGTCAGGTGGGATAACTCAAACTACAAAGAAAATTTTCACATTGAGAAAAATAGTTCAAACATTGAATTAATGCCAATTAGTTTAAAATCCTTGGTTTTAATAAATATATACATTTAGTTTCCAAGTGACAACAGTACAATTTCCAGTGCGTAAACAAGGAGTAAAACAGCAACTAAGCCAAACAAAATGGTGATACGGATTAATTCAAGGAAGAGGAGGCAGATAAATTGGGAGGAGACAAATCATCAACTATTGCATTAAGATAAACGTTTTTCTTTTATATATTGAAAGTTCTATTATGTCTTTCCCTCCATAAAATCCAAAATAACACAAAAGATCGGCATCCATAACTAGAGGTGGCAAAATGGTTAAAAGAAAACAGTTATCCACCCATATTATCCATTAAAAAATGGGTTGGATAATGAACTTTTTTAAAACGGGTCGAATATGGATAAGAACCATATTATCCACTTAGAAAATGGTTAACCAAATGGATAACTAATGTGTTTAACTTTTACATTTGTAAAGCCTCAAATTGGAGATTCCTCAAGTTTGGGAGACTAAGAATTCTCCCATAAGTAATCGTATTCAAGAAGCCATGGATAATATGGATATCCATATTATCCGCCGGATAACCCGTTTTTTATCCGTCTCAAATACGGGTTGGGTCGGATAATTTATCCGTTTTTTGAATTACCCGTTTTCGACCAGCTCATATCCGACCCGACCCGCCCGTTTTCCACCCCTATCCATAACCAACCATGCAACTAGTTTCATGTCACAGATATGACCTTTCATTCTCAATGTTTTAAATTCATGGGAGTTACTAATAGACTTCTAGTTTGTTATTGTATATGGTACTTAGCAACCACGTCCATTATTTTTGAAAATTGCTACTGGAATTGTTGCTCCCTGATTATTACTATTTGATACTACTTTTTCTCCCCTTTTACTGGATATTGTTGCTCCTTGATGGTTACTATTTGATGCTACTTTTTCTCCTCATTGCTTATCGTCTTTTGCCTCCCTCTTCCTTCTTTCTCCCCCCTCTTTCCTCTTCTTCTCCCCTATTCTTTCCTTTCAACCTTTTCTTGAGCTGAGGGTCTATCGAAAACAACCTCTCTACCTCTCCAGGTAGGGGTAAGGTATGTGTACGCACTACCCTCCCCAGACCCCACCCGTGGGATTATACTGGGTATGTTGTTGTTGTTGTTGTTGTTGTTGTTGGAGCTACTAATAGTAGTAGGTGAAGCAAAGTCGAATAGGCGGTTATGGAAGATCTAAGTTGCTCGGACTCTTCATTTTCAATGTCGCACCCGTGTCGACACGACGTGGGTGTGGGTGTGGGATCCGTACCGGATTTGGTTAACCGATTTTGGGTATTTTGACCAAAATCGACGGAGAAATTCGGGACATATACAATGAATTTTTAAAATCAAAATAAAAGTTGGGGTGAAGTTGAAGAAAACAAAATAACTTGTATATAGAAATTTTTATGTCAATCATTTTTCCTTTCATCTCCTACTCGGATTCTCCTCTTGATCAATATTTTTTCCTTCTTAGAATACCTTTAAAGTTTTTCACATAATATCTCATAATTTAGATATATCTTTATGCACTCAAGGGTGTGGCCTAGTGGTCAATGAAGTGGGTGAGAACCATGAGGTCTCAAGTTCAAATCCCAGCGGAGGCAAATACTAGGTGATTTCTTCCCATCTATCCAAGCCTTGGTGGATAAAGTTACCTGGTACCTGTTGCTGGAGCAGGTATCCCGTGGAATTAATCGAGGTGCGCGCAAGTTGGCCCGGACACCACGGTTATCAAAAAAAAAAATTAGATATATCTTTATAACTCTATTTTAGCACCCAAGGGTGTGGCCTAGTGGTCAATGAAATGGGTGAGAACCACGAGGTCTCAGGTTCAAATCCCGGCGGCAAAAAACACCAGGTGATTTTTTCCATCTATCCAAGATTTGGTGGATAGATTTACCTGGTACCTATTGCTTGTGGGAGGTGGCAGGTATCCCGTGGAATTAGTCGAGGTGCACGCAAACTGCCCCGGACACCACGGTCATCAAAAAGAAACTCTATTTTTAAATATTTGAATTATTTTTAGCCGAATCTCTGCACCCGTATCCATGCCTGGATTCGTACCCCAAATCTTAAAATTTAGATCATGAAGGATCCGACCTCTAAATATGCACCCGTATCGGACACCCGCACCCAAGTCCGAGCAACTTGGTGGAAGATTGGCAGCAAAAGTAAGGCATCTTGGAGAAGAACACCAATATATTTGTCTTGTTTTGGCATAAAGGAGTATGATAATGTTCCAGAATACTGAGAGTGAAATTTTTTTTCTAAGTGTAAATAAAGAATTCCCTTTTGTGTAGACAGCTGTGTTTGACAGAGATATATTTTTGTGATTGAGCCACATACACAATTCTACATACTTCTGACACTACTCGTGTTGTGCTCATAATAGACTTTTGACTTACCTAGAAAATAATGATTCAAATAAACTAGGATTCTTCAGTTAAGTTACATACCCTCTGCAGCAGATTCTTCAGAAGGGCCAGCAGCAACTGCATCAGAAACCACTTCCAGCTCTGGCTCCTTGTCCTGCTCAGATCTTATAAAAAAATAAAAAATAGAGGTTAGAAAGAATGTTGCTAATCATTGTAATATTAATCAGGCATGCAGACATAAATACACATGAATAGGATGGTCCTGACAAGCAAATTTTAAGGTGATCCTACACATCAGCCCCAATTTTTAGAATGAAAATAGTCAATTAACATCAAATCGAAACAGTAAAACCAGCATGTTTCAACAGAATGTTGATTAACAAGTACATGATTAGGGAGATTATAAATATACTTGCAGGAGACAGTCAAGTCTGGTCACATTTTGACACAAAATTTTACATTCTTTTTTTCCTTTTTTTTTTTTGCACGGAGGCCAACTTGCGGGCACCACGACTATTCCACCTGCTACCACAATTTTAACATTCTTCCATTTAATAACAACAAATATTGTATATTCCACTTATCAATACTGCAACAAATAAAATGGGAGCTGGTATAGCTTAAATTCTATTTGCATGCTCTTAATTGATTGTTCATGCCTTTTTTTCTTGTTTCTACATTACGCAGCCCTTACAGTAGAGGGTCATTCCTAGATAATTCAAGGTGGGAACTAGAAAGCTTCTTCTAATTCACCTGCTATGGTAAAAATCACGAGAAGACTTGAGCAAGTAGCTCCTGCAAGGTCAATCTTTAACAAATCATATGGTTAGGTGCAATCTCTCTTTATCAGTGCCTGTCACCTAATTAATTTACCTTTGCCTTCAAAAATAGATGATCAGTAGAATGAGAACTGTGAATCAAAAGTTCTATTTGTGTGCTCTTAATAGAGCTTCTTTATCAAGGACCTGTGACTTGATTCCTCAAAAATAGATGACCAAGCCAAGCCTCCATCCCACACAATCAGAGAAATGAAACAGAAGAACCACAAAAATCAGCACATTTAACACACCTTTCAAGCTAAATTTTGGATAAACAGCTATAGAATAAGAAAAAAGAAAAACTAAAAAAATTGTCCAACTAGAGAAAATACCTTATTTTACGTGTTGGCTTAGCAGTCCCCGTAACGTTGACAAGCTCAGCTTCCAATTCTTTTTTCTTAAGAAGAAAAAAGAAAGAAAAATTTAAGGTGAAGTTTCATCCAACAAACCATAAAAACACCAGAAATTTTCTAGAACAGCAGTATACCATTGTATCACGCATTTTCTCAAACAATATAGATTTCACTGTCTCTTTTGAAATCCAGCGGCAGAGTTCCAGTGTCAGCCCCTTGGATGAAGCACGGACATTCTGATCTTGATGGTCAAACAGTTCAGGGAGCATCTTCAAAATTCTTTTTGGTGGAATAATCTTTGCTCCAAATTCACTATTTCATATTGGTAAAGCGTCATAATCCTTTCAGGAACTAAGAAAAATAAGCTAACATGATAAGACAGATATTCACAAACCTCAAAGCCTGAAACATGACATCGATCGCAGGAACCACAGCTTTGGCAACTTTATTTTTAATTGCTTTCTCCATAGCATCCTAAAACATAAACTATATTAATGAGAAAGGCAACTAATAAAACGTATAGCTGGAGGAAGCCAGGAACAAAAATGAAAAACTGCAGATAAAGACCGCAAAATATAATATTTTTGCTACATGTTCAGACCCGAAGATAACATATGCTGGAAGGGCAAGAAGGACGGCACATTTCTGTTAAATCACGCTACACACTCTTACTTGACACACAAAATACAACATCACAGTGACCTAGGAAACAAATTTGGCAAAGCGTTGCCCCTTATAAAGTTCAGTCTCACTTGCCTAGTGGCTAAAAATGCATGTCTAACACAGTCTAATCTTCAAAAAAGAGGTCTGAAAATTTGCAGCAGATGCCCAAGAGCAAGCAGAGGATACAAATCACCTGTTAATGCACAGCTGTGGGATATGTTTTTTAGCATTTTGGGCCTGAAGAGGTCTAAAAGTACATTATACACCTATGACCTATCACTAACAACAGAAACCGTAATCTTAGTACATATAAAATAGAGTTATAGCAATTATAAAATTTCTTATTTCAAAATTAACATGTCTTCTTATTTATTTATCATGACTTTTCTATACAGGAATTATTTAATCATTACTTTTGCCTACAGAATTATAGATTCAAAAAATTTGGCCACTATCATATGTAGTAAATTTGAAGCACAGACACTCCCCGTACTAGTAAAGTTCTGGTCTTGGATTCCAAGTGTCAATCATCTTTTAACCCTCTACATGCAACTCTAAAGTGCATGATTTAATATCAGAAAGAAAAAAAAATGAATTTTACACAAAATGATAAGATTCAACAGTCTTTAGCAAAACAGCATCATTCATGTTGCAGGAATGAAACAATAACAAAAATTTTAAAAGAGGAAAAAGAAAAGGTAGCTTTCTGAAAGAATTTTTAATGACCAAAACTTTTAATTCCACACTCTTTGCTGTTTTACTTCCACTACTTCAACTCAATTACACCTAGCAGTTAGCAAAAGCTCAGAAGAGCCTAAACGGTGCTTGATTTAAACAAGAGTAACTATCAAGTACATTATAAGGAATTCAGAAATGCATAGTATTGTTGAGTTTAGCACATACCAAAAACGCCTCGACAGCCTCCAACTCTATCCAAAGCAAAAAAACCATCTGTGCCTTCTCCACTGTCTTAGGCCTCCCCGTCAAGCATTTAGCTACTACTGCATCACATACTTCTTTCGCATATCTACTCATCATCCAAAAGCACACCAAATTAAACTAACCAACGCAACTAAAATTAAAATTAAAAGTAATTAAAATATAAGTAAAGCTTTACCTCCCAGCATCAGCATCGGCAGCTTTCAAGTAACAAATCAAAGCATCAAGAGCCTTCTCCTGAACTGGCGCATTGGAATCCGCTACCGTCTTCCTAAATAATGGACCTATAAATATCCACACACAAAAATTCAAAAACATAAAAGCTATCAATGAATATGCAATCACATTACATAAACAAAACATACAGATCGCCATAAAAGAGATCGCAAGCAAAGCAAATGAAACCAGATCTAACGGAATCGAAACCCTAAGTGAAGTAAACACTGACCGAATTCACGTAGGCGAGGGTCCTTGGGATCAGTAATGGAGTCGCAGACGGCGGCGAGGTCAATGTTAGCGTCATTTCGGACCTTCCAATTTTTGTGCGCAAATCGCTCGTCCCACGGCAATTTCTTTGCCTCTTTCAACAACTTCTCATCTTCCGACATTGTAACCTATATATCTATGTATATACACAGAAGGTTTTCGAAAAATGTATATGAACTTCTCGATGTTCAGATTGATCGGAAAAGCGTCCGTAGCAAGAGGAAGCGGTTGTTTTGTGCTTTAGTTTTTGCTTCTTTATTTGTCCTTTAGGTCTCAGCCGAGTGCCGGCGAGTTTTTGGAAAAAAATGGGTTGAAATCGAGTGCGATAATACGTTTTATCTTTCTCGTTTCAAAAAACACACAGAGTGTGGGTAAGAGAGGAGAGAGAAGGGGGGACGGGGCTAATTTATGTTTTACGCTTCAACGGAAAGAAGTACCCACCCTCGGAGGAAGGAGCGTGAATATAGTAGGCAAGTTACATTTTACTGATTTACATTTATATTATGTTAATTACTTGTTTGAATTCAAATATCTTCTTTTCTTTTTTATAATCCTAATGTCATAGTGAGTACTTGCAAGTTACTAACTCAATCACACGTACCAAGTAATTTTGTTTGTCAAGACTTGAATATATTGAAAGAAATCACCTAGTAATATTTTTACCTTAGATTTGAATCGATAATTCATGATTCTCATCACACTTTATTGATCACTTGTCACATTGCTTCAAATACCAATATATTTTGATTCAACAACAATAACACACATATCAAGTATGATCTCATAAGTGGATTCTAGGAGGGTGAGATATATGTAGATCGTACCCCTATCTTATACAGGCAGAGAGATTATTTCTAATAGACCATCAGCCCAAAAAAGTATTTTCAAGACAGATTTGAATCAATATATTTTGATTACAAATTTTAAATTGGTGTTTCAACTAAATTTTTCACCTAATAATTACTTTAAATTGGTGTCGAAACAAATTTTTAATTAAATATTAATTTTTAATTTAAGTAATAATATTTATGGAATTATATAATTGTTGAGATTCTCAGTTAAATAAACAAATGTTGTGTCATAATTTAAATTAAATGAAGGTGTATGGTCAAATTTTAAAAAATTAAATAAAACAATCGAATGCAAACTAGTCAAAAGTTAATATAAGGATTTTGATTCAAATTCAAACGAATACAATAAGAGGCGCGTGCCTGATTAAGCTAATATTTGTTGTGGTTGAGCGGTGTATTTTTAAGAGGGGTTGTGGTGGGTCCCAAAAGAATAGTACTTGTAAAAAAGTTGGAATTCAAATTGAGGAGCAGTTTATTAATCTGGGATGTGTTCTATTGAAATGAACGTCATGGTACGCATTTACAACACATTTATGGACCGTACGATGACAACACTTTGTAAGGTCTTATTTTAAAATTTTAATCTTACGGTTAAAAATCCGATTAGTGAGTGGGAATACCTAGTAATGACTGTAGAAAGTTTGTGATTAAGTGGCTAATTCTTAATTTACTAGAAGATTTAGAACGGCTATTTTACTGTTAATGATGGTGGGGGCAAATATTCCCTGCTCGACACCATACGCAAAAGCACCTGTTCTCACGTATCGGTTCGCTGAGAAGTCATTTTTTGTCTTCTTTCCGTTCCATAGTTTTTAATTTCATTGTACCTTCATATTCCATTCTTTATAGTATTAATAACTATTCAGTTTTAAAAATATAATTTTAATCTCCAGATTGTGACAACAGGTGCGGCCAAAGTTTCCATCATGATTTCAGTTTTGGGAAAAATAATATGTTCCGTTGCCTTCTTCTTTTTTTAGATCTTATATAAATAGTCGGTCTGATAACTATTTATTTGTTTTAGCTAGTTATAGCATATATAGATTTTATATTAATTAAATATGATTATAAGCAAAATTATACATGAATTATATATACAGTCAAACCTCTCTATAACAGTATCGTTTGTTCCGATATTTTTTTACTTTTATAGTGAATGGTTGTTATACACATATAACAACATTTGACGTTTAAATATATTTTGACTGTTATAAACAAAAATTATCCAAAAATCAAATTTTTTAACAATACATATATAAGATAAAAAATATTATTCAAATTTAATTACTCAAAAGATGTGTAAATTTCACTAATTAAATATTAAAGAAATATAAGATATTATTAATATATTCGTAACTAAATGAATAAAGATTTAAACTCTAAAGCATACATTTTAAAGCTATCAGAAGATTCAAATATTTCAAGAGTGATCGAAAAACTCTGTAATTGTAGCTTGTTCCGTAGATTCTAGTCTTTTACTAGTGATATAACGCTTGAATTAGCAAAAATTTGTGTCCAAACTTTCAACAAAAGATATCTAATAGTATTTCCTTGAAAGCAATCTAAGAGGTTAACAATTGAATCTTCTACCTCGGTCCAAGTAGTAGTAAGTTGAGGTCAAAGTCTTTAAACTTATTGTTGGTGATCTTGTTATAGATTCTACATGGATGTTATAGAAGAATAATTTTTATAAAGAGCGAACTGATGTAAAGATGGGTGTTGTTTTTATAGATAAAAAGTTGTTATAGAGAGGTAAAATATAACATAAAATTTTGGTTCCGAGAAAAACTTGACTTATTATATGAGTATGTTGTTATAGATAGTATAACTATATATTGCATATATATTGACTATTTTTAATTTAAGTTATTTGGTGGACGACTATTTACATTAATTTTTCTTCTTTTAACAAATATAAAATATTACATAATTTATTTTACCTTCCTAGATTTTTGATGGTTAACCAATGATTGTGACATTAGGAGATATAAGATATCTCGTAGAATAGTAAGGGTGTGCAACTTAGCTCGACATCATTGTTATGTAAAAATGACAATCGAAACTTGCTTCTTTTTTTTTTACAGTTTGATATCAATGAAATACAACTCGCTATCAAAATTAATTAATTAAAAATTCAAATAAAAACTTTTATTAAACTGAATCAGCAATCGGCACGCTTACAATAAAACTAGAAGCATACTCTCAATATAAATGGCTAGCATACGTTTTAGGTTCTCTTGCCAAACAATGATAGATTTGCTTGCCTTTTAACCTAAACCAAAGAAATATTAGAATTTTTATGTAACAAAAAACGAAAATAATCTAAAAGCACCCCAAACTCTAAAATCTTTACTTGAAGAGTTACAAGAAAGTATAATTTTCTTAACACCATATTCAACTATACATTGGCCATCAAAATATTGAACCAACTTGGCGAGAGCAAAATGTAAATCCAATAATTTTAGCATACCTAGCGTTGGCACAACCTCGAAGGACCGAAGAAGCTGCAGCTACAAACTGACGTTGTTGGAAATAAGATGAATGAATCTATTTATCATATGACTTGTGTGCAAAATTTGAGGTCAATCGGACTTGATTCGTTAGGTTTCGGCGTCGAATGTAGAAGTTGGAAATTTCATAATAGACTAAGGTTTCAAGTGAGTTTGCACAAGACTTAACTTCAAACGAGCACACCTCTCTTTATATAAAGAGTTATATGGTGTATTACCTATCAAAAGAAAGGTCTATGTGTCTAGTTTCCAACGCTTCAAACCGTTTGTCATTTGGACATTCCTACAAGAAGTTATGACTAAATTACCAAAGGCTGACAGAATGCGATTATGAGACCACTATGCGACCATTATGCGATCGCAAAATGGTTATGCGACCGCAAACGGGTCGCAAAATGATCCAGAACAGCCCAGTTCTGGGCATCGATTTGTGCGATCATTGTGCGGTCCATTGTGCGACCGCATAACTGAGTTCGGAGGGTTAATTTTCCTATTTTTATAACCCTACCCCATTTTGATAAATAGGCTTTGGAGTTTATTTTTGGGGCAATTATATGAGGTTTTTAGAGAGAAGTGAAAGTTTTCTAAAGAGAGAAAGTAGATGAAGTGTTTTGTTCATCAATATCTTGTCCAAACTTTGAAATCCAACAAGAAAATCTCACAAGTTCTTCATCTGAGAGGTAAGGTTCCATACCCTAGTTTTCAATTTCGAATTTGGGTAAAAGATGGTTGATTAGGAGTATGATTCTTGGGTATGAGAGTATTATTTATACGTGTATGTACCAATAAGATTTGTGGAAAGATTGTTGGGCTAAAATAAGTAAAGATTGGGTTTAGGAGTAAAGAAAATCTTGTAGAAGAACCTTGTAGCCAAATTTGCACACCTAGTGATTGATAGAATGCTCAAATGAGATAAAACCATGAAAAACTTCCTAATCATAGTTCACTTTTATTATGTTTCTAAATAGATTGAAGTTACTAGGATTTCCGGAACCTCGTAGTAATGTAAGGAAGGCTCGAGAAATATTGGAGCCGTCCGGAGGTCAATTCACGTGAGAAAACTATTTTGGAATATCAACCTAACTTCAAAAAGGTAAGTATCTTGCCTAACCTTGAGTGGGGGAATTACCCCTTAGGCATTGAGTCTTGTGTGAAAAATTGTGTAATTGAAAACCATATACGCGAGGTGACGAGTACGTACTTGGTTTATATGTGCATATTATATCGATTGAAATTCGTAGATGTCCTTAAGTATTAAATTGAAAAATTATTGTAACTTATTAAATCCCTTATTTGTCATGCCCCATCCCTTGTTTGCCGATATTGTTTTTATATGATAATTTGGTGTAAGTGCCACTTAACTTTTATGTGAACTCTGTGTTTGTTTGAGTTGCCATTTTTATGAAAAACACTTTTATTTTTTATTTTACCTATAAATAATTTAAATAAAAAATTTAGTTAATAAGATGAATGAATCTATTTATTTCTTGAAGTTGTGATTTAAACGAGGTGTTGTTCCTTGATGAATTACTTCTCCGTTCACGTTGTTGAAAATTTGGTATTGAATTAAAAAGGTCGTAAATCATATTGAGGCAAAGTGCCAAATTATGAAATATTATTCGGTTGAGTTGTTCACTCCCGAACATTTTATTAAGATGTTGTACACATTACGATCGAGTCGCGGGCTCCTTGTGGTGGAAAAATGATGTATTATTGATTTATGTGCAATTTATGATACGTTGTAATATTTGAGCACTTGATGTGCAATTTGTGATACGTTGTAATATTTGAGCACTTGATGTGCAATTTGTGATACGTTGTAATATTTGAGCACTTGTCACGATCTGAAATTCCCACCTTCGGACCGTGATGACGCCTAACATTTCACTTGCTAAGCCAACGTTAGAAAAATATTGACCAATTTTTAAATAATCTTTACATTATTAATAATCAAGGAACCAAAAGCGAAAGCAAAGTTTGAAATATAGTGAAATAATCCATAAAAACAACGGTGTCTAAATACCATCTCAGAATTGGTGTCACAAGTGCACGAGCTTCTAGAATAAA